CGCCCTGGGTGGCCGATCGCTGGCAGCCTTCCGCGGGCCTCCAGTCGGCGCAGCTGGTGGCCGAGGCGGCAGCGCGCCCGTGGCGCGCGCTGCGGGGTGAAGGTGAAGGGCGCGCTGCGGCCACCTGGCCCCTGGACTTGGGCGACCTCCCTCGACTGCCGGCGGTCGAGGAGGTGCGCCGGGTCGGGCGCCCCTTCCCCCACCTCGCGGGTTTGGGCCGCGACGCCTTCCACCCGCGGCGCGTGGCCGTGCTGTGCGGCGAGGCGCTCGGGGCTTGCATCGAGCTCTGGCGCCGCGTGCTGGAGCTGGGGCACGCGCCGAAGGCCCCGGCGGTGATGCAGATAGCCCTCCTGCCCAAGCCCGAGGGCGGGGTGCGCGCCATCGGGCTGGCCCCAGGTGCCCCACGGCCCTTCGCACGGTGGACGAGGAACACCGATGGCTCCAGCTGGGCCCCCCTCCACCGTCGGGACTGCGTCCACGGCGCGGCAGATTTGAGCTGTGAGACCTGCGTGTTGATCCAGGCTGCCTCTGCGGAGGTGGCGACCCACCGCAACCAGGCAGCCTGCGCTGTGCTCATGGACCTGTCGAAGGCCTACGAGCACATCCCGTGGGCTCTGCTGGCCAAGCGGGCCGAGGCGTTCGGCTTCAACCTGCGCCTGCTGCGCTTCTTGCTCCAGATGTACGCGATGCCGCGCATCGTCGTCTGCTACCAAAGGGTTGCCACCGAAGCCTGTGCACCCCGGCGCGGCGCCGTGGAAGGATGCAGCTTCGTGGGCCTCTGCGTGCGCATGATCCTGCTGCCGAGGCTGGATGCGACCGCGGAGCTGGGCGCGGTGCAAGTCGGCAACGTCGTCGACGACATCCAGCTGGCCAAGGCGGGCACGGCGAAGCGCGCGGCCGCGCAGGCCAGCGGCGCCTTCGAGCAGATCCGCAACGGGCCCCTGGCTGACGGCCTCGCTGCGAACGACGGCAAGGGCGCGGTCCTGGCCAACTCCGCCGAGCGCAGCCGCGAGGTCCAGCGGCGCTGCGCGGCGCTCCGTGGCAATGGCCGCAGGTCAGCTAGGAACCTGGGCGTGGACTACGGCTGCGGGCGGCATCCCGGCGCAGCCGCGCGGAGCAAGCGCGCGGCCACCGTGATCATGCGCTCGGCCCGCATCCGCGTGCTGCGCGCCGCTAGAAGCAAAACGCAGCAGCTCGTCTCTCTTGGTCTCACGCCTGCTGGCGCCTGGGGGGGCGGGGTGGCTGGGGGGGCCCGGAGTGGGGTCGAGCCGATCCGTCGAGCGGCGCGTGCCGCCCTATTCGTTCTGACAGCTCGCCGCTCCCTCACCCTCGACCTCCACCTCGTTTCCTCGGCGCCGAGGTCGGTCGACCCTGCGTGCGCTTGCACTGCGTGTCCGATATATTTGCTCGCCCAGGCCGTCAGGGAATCATGGTTGTCTCGGGAATGGATCGCCCGAGTTTGGTTCGCCGCCGAGGCCGCCCTGGCTCGGCCCACCGGTGTAAAAAGCGACTGGGCCCTAGTTCGTGGCCCGATTTCGGCGGCCTTCGTCAGCTGCGGGCGCATCGGCTGGAAACTTGGCCCAGGGGTCTGCACGTTAGAGACCAGCGAGGGCTTCAAGGGATCTGTCTTGCACCTCGCGCGCTTGGGCACCGAGGACTGGCTGCTGGATCGAGCCCAGCAGAGTTCGGAATGGATCCTTGCTCCCCTCCGCCGCCTCTGCGTCGGCAGGACTGGCCCCGAGTGGACGGCTCGGCATCAGGCGACTGACCGTGCGATCGTCTCGAATGGCACTTAAGATCAGGCTCGCAAGTTTCGCCGAGGCCTCTCGAGCAGTCGCGCGCGCCCGTTGTGTAGCATCGAGTCCTGCCCAGGGACCTTCGAAGCCTGGGTGACAGGCCAGTGCTCGGCGACGTGGGCTTCTGTTCGCGAGTGCGACCTCCTTCCCCCTCTGCAGCAGGACCTCGGGGTGCACTCGACCTGGGCTCTCTGGAGGCATGCCCTGGTCCCCGATCCTCGCCCCTCTGTCCCTGGCCCCGCGTCCTCCCTCCTCGTCCAGTGGCTCAGGCGGCCCAGATCTGGTAGCATCGAAGGCGAGGCCTTCGGTGACGGCTACTGCACCTGGCCTGCACAGGGAGACCCCCGACTCAGTAGAGCGGACTGGTCTGTGGTTCAGGTGGACGGGCAAGGATGCCTGACCGCCTCCTTGTGCGGCCCGCTCCCAGGGCCGCATCAGGCGTCGGACCTCGTTGAGGCCTTCGCTCTCCTCATGTGTCTGACGCACGTGGCCTTGGGGCCCTACTGATTCCACTCGGACTGCGCCTGGGTGGTTTCCCGCTTCGAACGCAGACGGTCCGAGACCACTGGGGCCCAGTGCGAGGCAGCCCACCTCTGGGCTCGCATCTGGGATCGTGTAGACGACCTGGGAGGCGACGTCACGATTGTGAAGCTCGACGCCCGGTTTTTGGCTCGGGTGCTGCGCTCATCCAGCCCCGGCCAGCAGGATGCGCCGCGACACGGCCACCTGCGACGTGCGCGTTGCAGGGGGCTCGTCCCCGTGCTGACGGCACACGCGGTGCTGCTTGCTGGCACGAATGAGCCAGTGCCGTGCGGCAAGGGCTTCCGTTGCTGCCGCTGCGTCCGCGTCGCCAGGGCGCGTGATGGCTACACGACTGCGGCGTGCAGCCCAAGCGGTGGTCACCGCGTGTGGTGCGTGGGCCCTTCTCTTTTCTGCGCGAGCTGCGGAGCACACTGGAACGAAAACGCTGAGCTCCTCGCGTAGCCTTGCCTCGGGGTGGTCCCCCCGCAGGCGCGGTCCCGCCTGGGCCGCCTGTGGGAGGGCAAACACCCGCGCACTGGTCTGCCCCTGCCCTTGGCCAGCGGCCAGGTTGGGCCACGGCCGTTCGCGAACTACGTCCTCGACAGCCTGGTCGGGGACCTGGTTGTCGTGGGCGAGGATGCGGACGGTGTGTAGGCCCTTGGCTGCGCCTGCTGGCACTCCCCATTGGGGAGGTGCTCGGGTTCCTTTCCCCACGGTCGGGCTTGCGCCCGAGCCGCCTAGTTGTGCTTGCACGGTTGGCGCCGCGCCTGATGAAAAATCTCTTCCTCCTCCTCCTCCTCCTCCTCCTCCCTCCTCCTCCTCCTCCTCCTCCTCCTCCCTCCTCCTCCTCCCCTGCTCCTCTGCTCCTGCTCCTGCTCCTGCTCCTCCTCCTCCTCCTCCTCCTCCTCCTCCTCCTCCTCCTCCACCTCCTCCTCCTCCCGTGGGACGCCCTGGTGGCCTCCTCTGCGCCGACGCGGCGCCTGCAGCCGGGCGGCGCCCCTGCGGCGCTGCGGCCGCTGCGGCGGGCGGCCGCGGCGCCGCGACCAGGCGCGCCCGCCGCCCCCGGCGGTGCGGAGGCGCCGGCGGACGCCGCAGCCGAGAGGAAGGACGAGGCGTCGCCGCCGCGGGCGGTGCCTCGCGGGATTCTTCGGTGCCGCTGCTGCGAGGCGTACAGGCGAGGAGGTGCCCACGTCCCCGGATCGAAAGGTCGCCGCCGTGGGCGGGGCGGGATTCGTCGGTGCCTCTGCCAGCTCCGCGTGCGTCTAGGGCGCACAGGGAGTGGGGAACGAGCGGCGACAGGATAGGAACATGGTGCCTCTGCTGCGATGCGAGGCGTCGCCACCGTGGTCGGGGCCTCGCGGAAGTCTTCGGTGCCTCTGCTGCGGGGTGAGGATCGAAAGGAACACGAATGCAAGCGCACTTCCTGGAATTAGGCCCCTGGCGCCACCTATCGGGCCCGGGGGCAAGCAAAAACTGATCCGGGGCGAGAAACTTGCCACATGGAAGCGGTCGGTACCTCTGGGTCCGCGGATTGAAAGACACGTCGACGGATATCTCGGGTGCCCCTGCTGCGAGGCGAGGATACATCAATATTCCTTACAATAATGTTGCCTCAAGGGAATGCCGAATAGGGAACGAAGTGGCATTGCCACGGCGAGCCTCGGCCACGAATAGGTTCTCCGATCCAGGTCTGAGGACCAGCCCTGAAACCAGAGCCCCTCGCAGGCCCAGAATGGTCTTTGAATCAAGGCAGTCTTTTGTTCCTTCGAGACGGAAGATGAAGATGCGGCAATGGCGGAGGAGGGAACGGGGAGAGAAGGATGATGATGAGGCTCCTCCACCATCCATATCATCAGCATCAGCATCAGCATCCACATCACCATCACCATCACGATCACCATCACCATCACCATCACCGATCACCATCATCACCATCGCCATCACCATCATTATCATCATCAGTGTCATCATCATCCTCTTCTGCATCATCATCATCATCATCATCATCATCATCATCATCATCATCATCATCATCATCATCATCATCATCATCATCATCATCATCATCATTAGTATCATCATCATCATTAGTATCATCATCATCATTAGTATCATCGTCATTATCATCATCAGTATCATCGTCATGATCAGCATCCTCATCATTAACATCATCATCCTCATCATCATCAATCCTTCTCGCCATCGTCATCGTCATCGTCATCATCATCATCATCATCATCATCATCATCATCATCATCATCCTCATCATCATCATCATCATCATCATCATCAACACCATCAACATCATCATCGTCGTCGTCCTCCTCCTCGCCCCTATCCCTGCTCCTCCTTCACCCGGAGGAGGAGAAGCAGGATTTGGGGCGAGGAGGGCAAGGACGAGGAGGGGGGAGGAGCGAGGGGAGAGGAGAGCGTGAAGAACGTGGGGACTGTCCTGACGATTGTGAGCCCTGGACCTCCCTGGTCGTCGTCGTCGTCGCCGCCGCTGCCGTCGTCGCTGGCGTCGTCATCGCCGTCGCCGCCGTCGCCGCCGCCGCCGCCAGCGTCGTCGTCGTCGCCGTCGTCGTCGCCGTCGTCGTCGTCGTCGTCGTTGTCGTCGTCGTCGTCGGCCTCCCGCGCTGGCCGCCTCGCACGACGACGAGGCGCCCTGCGCCCCCGCGCCCATCAGCAGGAACGCCTCGGGCGCGCAGTAGCGGCTGACCCTCGCGGACCGGCGCGGCGCCTGCGCGGGCTGCTGGCGCCCCGCGGACGACGCGCTCCTCATCAAGGGGAACCGGAACGCCGCGCCTCCAACGTCTTGGAAGATCCAACACGGAAACTTTTCACTGTTTTCGGCCTTCGGAGGCCCTCACCGTGCCTTGGGTAACCGATCAAATCGGAGGCCCCACCCCCCTTTACAGCAATCTGGAACTCGTTTGGAAAAATCTATCGCCATCAGCACCGTCGCCTGGAAGACGCCTGCGATGGCCCCGCGCAGGCCGCGCATTCACTCCTGGCTGCGGACGCGCGCGGAGCTTTCAACCATCTCAGCGCAATTCACTCGCCGATTACGTCTTTGCACCCTCCCAGGTTGAGCACACTGCCAGTGTGGCCGTGAGCCCTACCGCGGCGACAGTGTCCCCAGATCCCACGGCGGCGTCTTGTTGAAGACGGACTTCTCTAAAACATGAAATGTACATGAACAAAGAACACCTCAGTATTCAAGTGCATAAGAGTTTCACTAAAAACACGAAGACATGCATGTACAACAAAAGCGCACATGTATTACATATTCGCCTTCGGAAGCAGTTAATACATATGGATTATGTTTTGGATCTAGTGTTTTTGTTTTCTCCCCGCCCGATTTTTATTCAGAAGAAACCTTCGTCGACCCTCCGCCGCGTGGCCCTGGAAGAGGAATGCGCGCAGCGGCATCTAGTGTATCCGACGCCCATCATCGTCGAACTACTATGACGCCCACTCGCAACACCACTGAGGACTTGCGAAAAACAATCAATAAACGGGCACATAAAAACACTCGGTGCACCGCCTCCGAATCAAGAGACGGCCTGAACATCCATGGTGCAAGGCACTTCTTAAATGCTCGGGACGACAGAAACCGGCCCAAGGAGAAAGGTCTCTTGTTTTCCTCTCGCGTTGTACAGAAAAGCGAGGGGACCATCCCGCAGGGTGGGGGCCGAGACTCATCGAATCCTGAAAAGGGTAGGTGTGATGTCCAGTCATCTTGATACCATCAATCATCTTGATACCATACCAGAACGAAAGGGATTTCTTGGCCCCTGAGAGCCTCAGCAGCGAACAGGTTCCACGACCTAAATCTGAGGAGCGGTCCGAAAGCCAGAGCCACTACCGAGCCCGAGGTGGTCCTCATTTCGGCTTCTTAGCTGCATGCCATCTTCTCTGCCTCCAGGAGCCGGTTTCTCTTCCCCGATGGGGATGAGCGATGAGGGGGGGGGCTAGCTCAGGGGTGGGGGGGAACATAGACCTGAATCGTCGATACATCGCCGATAAATCAGCGATAGGCGCCCCGTAACGAATCTGAACGTTCTCGGAAAGGTTGGCCTATCAGATGCCTATTGGTGATCAGTGGGCGATTGGGGGTCGATACATGCCAACCTGAGCCTATACCCCCTAGCGTTGCCCCGTGACTTTCGGGCCATAACTCGGCTCTCTGGCGGGCGTTCGGGACAAGTCTGGCACCCTGGAGTGCTCTTGACGAGGTGCATGTCATTGAAGCCAAACCGCAGGAAACGTCCGAGGACTTCAAAACAAAAACCTTTGCCGCTGAAGTCCGTCGGGTCTCCTTCCCCGCTGGAGGCCTCCAAATGGGTCCGATCCTCCACTACTCGTGCCCCCAAATCGGATCGGAGGCAACGATAGGGGGTACAATCTACCCGTATCATAAGGATGCGGGGAAGGATGCAAGGGCCTTGGAAGGCCGTGTCGACACTTTGCGAGCGGGGCGCGGTCAGCGAAAGTCGCTAAGGATGGGCCGAAGGGGCAAGGTTGCAAGGGTACCCTTGGGAAGGCTTCCCATCCTTGTAATGCGGGTGGACTGTACGATGATTCCTCGGATCCTCGTCCTTCTCCCGACTTCCTCTTTACTTTTCCCTGCAACGCGAGCGGCCCCTTCGTCCTCGTCCTCGTCCTCCTCCTCCTCCTCGTTCATGCGCTTCCTCCCCTGCCGTTGCCTCCGAGGGCGGTTTTCTCCCCCCTCGGGGCTCCTGCTCCGCGGGGGGGCGGCACGGGGCGGGGAGGCGTAAGACTCGTGTACGGGAAACTCAGGTTGGCCCGACGGGGGCCGCCACAAAACTGACGTGACGAGACCCCACCTGAAATATGGCGCGAACTCCCGCTGCAAACATCCCCGGGAAACGGGACCGTCAAAATCCAGGACGCGCTCGTCAAAAGACGTCGGGGATCTTCTGACCCGGGTCGATCCAGACCCGGGTCAGTCAGGCCTTGCAAAATCCTACATACAAATCCTGCAAGATCCTAATTGCACCTAAACCCGGGTCAGTGCAAAGGATCCTGCAGAATCCTGCACCCAACCCGGGTCAATGCGAACCCGGGTCAATGCGACCCTGTCCCTGCAGGATCCTGCAAACTCTGGCGCTCTGGCCGACCCCCGTTAGCATTGACACCCGTCTCAAAGCTCCCGAAGACGTCGGCAAGCCCGAGTTCCGGCTTGCTCGCGTCTTACGCTTCCCCGCATGGGGCACGCCGCCCCCGGGCGCCACGCGCACCGAGGCCCTCTTCGCCCGCGCGGGCACGCTGCGGAGCGACGGCGACGGGGACGGCGCCTGGCCGCGCAGCCAGCTGGGCCAGAAGGCGTCCACGTTCTGCCTCGCAGGCAGCGAGGAGGGATTCGCTGGAAGGGGGGGCAGAGAACGAGGAGGAGGAGGAGACGGAGGCAGAGGAGGAGGCAGAAGAGGAGGATGACGAGGAGGAAGAGGAGGCGGCGGAGGAGGACATGACCACGTTCTGCGACGCGTCAGAGGGCCAGAAGGCGGCCAGTTTCTGCCACTGGGGGAGGCCCGATGGTCGAGGATCGAGGATCGAAGCTCGAGGATCGAGGACGCAGGCTCCAGGATCAGGGCCCCAGTTTCGAAGTGTCTGGGCTCCAATCGATCTGATTCGATACCGATTTCGGCTGGCCACGTTCTGAATCCCATGAGGGGGGCAACAAAAAGCGCACAGACACAGACTGTCGGAGCTCCGCGCGGACTTCTTGGTCCTGGCGGCGCCTCCGGCGCCGTGCCTGGCGGTCCAGCCAGATCCAAGAAATCCGCGAGGAACTCCCGAAGTTTGTGCTTGTGCCATTTGTTTGTTTTCTTCCCCGCACCGGAAAGCTGCGGCCCAGGAAATCCAAATCATCTTAGCGGCCCTCGTTTTTGGAGCCCGTGCGGACGAGTCTGCGAAATGTTGGCAACCTCGGAAATCTTGGAAACTCTGATCGCCGGGCCAGTCGAGAGGCTTTCAGACACGGTCGGAGTTGTTCAAAACTAGGCCATCCAGCCCAGTCTCAGAAGAGGGCCAATCGAGACAACGGCGGCCCTTCCCAGCGTTCCTCGCCTTCGTTGCGGGCCTCCCGGAATCGTCTGATCGTCACGGCTGGGTCCGTGCAGGACGCGTCAGGATGGACCCCAGGAGGATCCTGGGGTGGGGTATTTTCTTGCATCCACGTTCTGCAGGGAGGCGTCCAATGCTTTTCCGAAATCGGCAAGGAGGCGTCCACGTTCTGCCTCTGCAGGATGCTGGAGGCTCGAGGCTCGCGAGAGTCGAAGTTTCGAGGATCTATGCTAGAGACACGAGGCTCGGGTAGCAAAGCTCCAGGAGCAAAGACCGAGGCCCCAGGTTGGAAGAGGCCGGGCGCCGATCGATCTGACTCGAAATCGATTTCGGCCGGCCACGATCCCATCCGATTCCAAACTTCTCTGGCGATATGGTGCGGCCGGGTGCTTGCAGTGGGCGCCGTTGTGCGTTTCCTGGCGGGGCCGATTCCATTCCGACTCCGTGGCCGACTCAACCCGATTCGATTCGCAAACAATGCGGCCCGATCCGATACACGTTCCGATCCGATCCGATATCCCGATCCGATTCTGGTTGATAATGTCAGAGGCAACCAGCATCGACTCCAGAAATCGACTTGGATCGGCAAAGCGAATTACATGGGGCCCCATCGGCACAGAGTCGGAATCGACCCGCATCGGCCGCGCCAGTATGCGCAACAACGCCGCCCATTAGCAAGCATCGGCCCGCATCTGACAGTAGGAAGATCGGAACCGAACATCGTATTGATCGGATCGATATGGACCTGGACCTCGGTTATCGAGTCATAACTCTGGTGTCCAGCGGACGTTCGGAACGTGCATGCATGCATACAGGCATGCATGCTTGCTTGTTGCGTCACCCAGAGTCGCCGAATCCTGAACCTAGAAGCCATCCGACATGCTCTAGAGCCGTGCAGAGGGACAAACCGCTCAATCATAGATTGAGAGCTCTTTGGTCTCCCCATTGCCTCTCGGAGACGCGCAGCCGCCGGTACGCATCCCGTGGCAGGAAGACCATCAGGAATCGACAAACACGTCGTACAGAAACTGTCTGGATCAATTTCACCTGGGAGGCGCCTCGATTCCCTGGATCGGCGCTTCACCACCCTGGCGGCGTCTCTAGTGCTGCCCCTGGCTCGCCAAGGGGGGCACAGTCCACGGCCCCGGTGCAAGAACTCCTCGCGGACCTCCGAGAAACCAGATCTTCGTGTTCTCCTTCGATGAGGCGTAACGATGCGATAGGGGGGCACCCGCTCAGGGGGGGGTACATCGAGCTTGACTCGGCGATACATCGCCGACAGATCGGCGATAGGTTTAGATCCGGCGTATCCTCCCACAGGCGGATGTTGGACGAACAAAGAATCAAAAAACATTCAGAAAAAATCGAACATAGTCGAATCATCGTCCCCATATTATATTTTTTGACTATTTTCGAATCTTCCTCCTGTAGAGGGACAGGCCCGACTCAACGGTAGGTCCCGATGGCGAATCCGCACGATCCTGGGCGGGGCCGGGCCATTGGGCCCCTCTCGTCGGCGACGACTGGGCGATTGGGGGCCGGTGCCGATGCGTCCCCTCCCCGAGCCCATCCGCCCCTGCCGCCACTCCCGACGCCATCCCTCGAGCGACTGCCCTGGGAAGACGAGGGCGACGACGAGCGCCGGGGGCCGTCGGGGAGGACGCAGGGCGAACGCGCGCAGCACTGTCGGGAGGTGCGTCGGGGCTCCGCTCCCCCGTCCGCCCCTCCCCTTGAAGAAGAAAAAACAACATAAACACCAACTTTTGGCTGGAGACCCCTCCCGAACGCGCGGAGCGCGTCAGGGGCGGCGCCGGAGGCGCCGCCGGGGGGCCCAGTCGCGGATCCAAGAAATCCGCGCGGAGCGCCAAAAGTCTATGTTTATGTTGGTTTGTCTCCTTCGATCCCCCCCGAAGTGCTCTTTCCCCCCCCCCCTTCGGGCCTCTGCAGCTCGTCGGAGAGGCCCTCCCACAGCGCGCCCGCGCCCTCCGCGAAGGAGACCACGCTCCGCCGCACCGCCGCGCCGCCCTCCTCGATGGAGACGCGGGTGCCGGAGGCCTGCGCCAGGGCGCCGAAGAGCGAGCGCGCGGCCTCGGCGTGGAGGGCGCCTTCCTCCACGAGCCACGCCTCGATGCCGGCCACCTCCTGGCGCCGCCAGGGCGTGCCCAGATGTCTCCAGGCCTCCGGCGAGACGGTTCGTGTCCGTGCGAGCATCTTTCTCCTCGATGTCGGCCCCTGGGGCCACGGTTGCGGGGCCCTGGATCGTGCAGAATGGGTCGGGGGCGAAAGACTGGCCCTCGGGAAGGGGTTGGGGGTCGGGACCGCTGGGGCCTCGCATTGAAAGAATCAGATCGGAGGATCTCTGGGTATGTCCATGTCCATTGCCGCGGGGTCGTGTTCGGGGGGCTCGGGGAGCGGTGGATATGGCTGGCCAGGCAAAGGCAGGGAGGGTTGGGGTCTGGTTTCTCGCATGGAGATGTTGAGTGAGTCTTGCACGTGAGCAACAGCATGCAGATGACATCATGCATCGTGCGACCGCGGCATGTTTCCTCAAGCTCTCGACGACTGGCCAAGGGCTGCAACAAATGCAAATCGTCGCAATTATCTTGCCTCGTCCCACAATCGATCCGGAGGCGGTGGATGTGGACATCTGAAAGGCAACGTTAGGGGGGGGCCGGCTCAGGGGAAGCATCGACCTGGAATCGGCGATACATCGCCGATAGATCGGCAATAGGCCCCCGCTTGCAAATCCGCACGCTCCTGGGCGGGGCGGGACTATCGTGTCAATCGCAGCGATCAATGGGCGAATGGGGGTCGATTCGTCCCCCCCTGACACGTCCACTGCCGCGGGGTCGTGTCCCAGGAACTCGGAGAGCGGTGGATACGGCTGGCCAATTGGAGACCTGGAAATCGGCACCAACACCAACACAGGGGGTTGCCTCCACAGGGGGGAGATTATCCTAGATCTCGGAGTTAGTGGTAATATTTCGGCCACCTTGGAATCTTGAATATTACCACCATCACCGAGATTTAGGATAATCTTCCCTCGGAGGGGGCACACCGCCGATATTTGGTGTTGGTGTCAACCTCCAGGCCTGCGAGCCAAGCCAGAAGCTTGGGAGGGTCAGGGCCTGGTCCTCTGCATGAGGGTCTACAGAGCGTCTGGCACGTGAGCCGCAGCATGGAGGGAGCAGGCTGCTCTCCTCAAGCTCTCGACGAACGGCCCGGCGCTGCGACAACTCGAACAGATCGTCGCAACTGTCGATTTGCCGAAGCCCGTGATCGACAGGGGGGGGCAGCGGATATGGACCAACCTGGCTGGGCGCAAACCTGGCCCTTGCCAATGCTTGCAACTTGTTGGGGGGCTTCCCAAGCTGGGCTCAGCCAATATGTGATGCCAACTCCAGGGCCGCGAGTGGCTCTCAGCAAAAATCTGGCCTTGGAGGACCCTGCAAAATCCAGCGCTCTGGCTGAACTCCTTTCTTGCTGAACCCCGTTCTGGAAACCCAACAGCAAGTGCTTCCCACAACGAACAGCGGCTGGTGTTGGGCAGGCAACCTTGTCTCAAATAGACAACGTCCGAAGCGACACCGACAGCGAATCCTGAAAACAATTGGCAAAATCTGCTGTTTGTCTTCGTCCTCGTGTTTTGTTAAGTATCCGTTACCCTGACCCGTGACCTGCCGCTGACATTTCCACCGCTCTCAGAGATCCCAGGGCACGACTCCGAAGCGTTGGCCTATGATGGACATACTCTGGTGGGTGGAGCTCCTCCGGCGGCATCCAGGCGAAGGTCTGCGCCAGCACCGCGGGTGGAAGCCACTCCGAGACCTTACAGGGGACAACTCCTGGAAGGTCTTCGTGGGTAACGGCGTGAGGGCTGCGTTAAGCCCGATTGAGGGGCCACTGAACCTAGATGGAGCCAGACGAGGCCCAGGATGAAGCGGGATTCATGAGCGTGCTTCGGCTGGAACCAGACGGTTTTCGACCGCGGACACATGAGCGCCGACACTGACTTGAACCCCCCAGGGATTTGAGAGGGAACGTCATGGGGGACTGGCTCAGGGAGGGCACATCGGAATCGGCAGTACATCGCCGATAGATCGGCAATAGGCCCCCGCTAGCGATGTGGCACACTCCTGGGCGGGGTGGGACTATCGGGCCCCTGCCGGCGATGAGTGGGCGGTAGAGGGTCGATGTGTCCCCCCCTGGGGCCTATCCCCCTCGTTGCCCCTAGAATCACCAGCCCCCCAGAGTTGCAGCCGAGGGGACCGCGTGGTCCAGCCTGCGGTGCAACTTCTGGCGCTGGTGCGGGGGCACCCTCCGCAGCGACGCCTCCACCGCGTCCAGCAGCTCCACGACCTCGGGCGCGCGGCAACAAAAACGCGCACACTTGGACGTTTGGTCGGCGCGCCCACGGGGGGAGGCACAGGGGGCGGGCCTTCTCAAAGCTCTCCCCAGTGGCGTGATATCAAGTTCGCGATCGAGCAGTAACAGAGCACGTCGGCGTTAATGGCCCCTCGCGTTGTGGATGCAAGCCGAGCTGCCGAGGGAACAGCGCTGCCGGCCGATGGAGTCCCCGAGCGTCATGTGTGCAAAAAGGGTAGGCGTCACCAGTGAGGACTGTCATGATCCCTGCTCCCATGTTGTCACAACTTTCTGCTGAAAAGGGAGAGGGCTCGACAGCGTGATTGATCCCTGCTGGGCTGAAGCCCGCGGTGACACCTCATTAGTGGTCTCACTGGAAAGCCAACCCTGGTCTTGTGATATCACGGTGCTCGGTGCCTCGAGGGCTCCTTGCGTTCTGGCCATCTGGAGATCGATGAGTTTGTGCAGGGCTGCGTCAGCTTCTGCCTTGGATTCTGGAGCTGTCCTGGACTCTCGAAGAGGCACACACACGCACACACACACACACACTTTCGAACGTCGCAACCCAGCCCAGGCCAAATCGCAGGGCGTCCGTCGGTCAGGTGGGCGCGCGCGCGGACGCGCGCCGTCTAAGCAGCGAAATATTGCCGGGCCTTCACGGGGCAGTGGTGGGGCCAGAGACTCACACGCACACGCACACACACACACACGCACACACACACACACACACACGCACGCACGCACGCACGCACGCACGCACACACACACACACACACACACACACACACTCCCCCCCCCACACACACACACACACACCACACACACACACACGCACACACACACACACACACACGCACGCACGCACGCACGCACGCACGCACGCACGCACGCACGCATACACACCCACACGCCCAACCCCGCACAACACACAGAAACACATACACACACGCACACAGGCAAGCACGCACGCACGCATGCAAGCACACACAAACACAGCACACAACACACAACGAGCAACACACACAAACCACACACAAACACACAAACGCACAAACACACACACACACACGCGCGCGCACACGGCGAACGTCCGCGGGTGGCAGATGTCCGCCAGTGACAGGCCCCCTCCCTCTGCACCTCGCCCATACAAGTGCTCGTCGAGGCGCGCCGTCGAGGCGCGCCGAGGGTGCCGCCCGAGGATGCGGGTCGGGTGCGTAGAGGGGTGCGTGGGACAGGGGTCGAGCGAATGATGGTCTTCATGCATGTGCGCGGACGAGAGGGGATCAGGTGACGTGCTGGATAAAAATATGAATACGAGCACGACGAAGAAGGCGGCGCCATGAAATCTGGGAGATTCTGTGACCCTGGCAATGATATCCAACACCACTCTGGTCAGTCCTCACCCTCACTAAGGGACGCCCCCGATTTGGGGGTGGATCTGGCGCCAGCCGGTATCAGCCACGTCACCAAGCGCCCGGAGTTGATGCTCTTGAGCTTTCCGGGGCACCCTCTCACACAGACACCATCCTGGGGGAAGTGGGCCAGCCCCTCTTCTCGAGAGCAGGTGCTTGCCTTTCTCACCTGAACTCGCCCCCAAGCCAGCCGCTCTGACCAGTCTTCCAAAACGCACCCACCGTGTGGCCACGAGACCCTCCAGGAGCCCCGAGCAGCCCAGAACGCGTCAAAAGTCCTGAGGCGGCGGCGGCGGAGGCGGCGGAGGAGGATCGGGATCGGGACCGGGCTCGTGGAGTTCGCGTGTCTGCTCAGCTGGGGGCAGGCCAATTGAAACCTCTGAACTGTGCTGCGCCTGGAACTCTGAACGGCTTTTCTTTCTTAAACGGCAACCATGCGGGCGGCCCCCTGCCCCCGGGCGGGGCCGCACTGCCCAATCAGAGGCAACCCCCCAGAACGCGCGCAGCCGTGAGGGCGCCTCTTGGGTGCCGATGAATTAAACCTATCCTCGGGCCCGCCCGACAGACAACGACGCGAAGAAGGCGCGCAAACCCCCCCAAGCACCCCGCCACCGCCTCAACAACGCGGAGCTCGAAAGCCAGGACCGCACTGCTAAAGCAAGGAAACGGGTCGTGGCAGCCGCGTGCCTTGAGGGGGCCTAAGGGACGTCTGAGAGAGACGGGAACACCGCTGCAACAAACAAACTGATAACACTACCTATACAACCACCCTTCGGGTGATAAGGAGCTTATGGGGGAAGGGGGAGGGGGGGAACCAACATCTGACTCAATCGATTGTACGATCGATCTCACTCAACGGGACACCACGGGACACCACGGGACACTTGTCGATTTCACTATCGATGTCACTATCGATCTCACTTAACGGGACACCACGGGACTGGCCACCACGGGACCCCTCGGGGCACCAAATCGATCTCACGATCGATCTCAGTATCGATCTCACGATCGATCTCATTCAGCGGGACACCACGAGACACCATTGGCCACCACGGGACACCTCGGGGCACGACATCGATCTCACGATCGATCCCACTATTGATCTCAGTATCGACTTCAATCAACGGAACATCATAGGACACCACGGGACACAACGTGACACCACATCGATCTCACGACCGACCTCACTACCGATCCCACGATCGATATCACTCAACGGGACACCACGGGACTCCACGGGACACCCGTCGATCTCACTATCGATCTCACTATCGATATCATGTTTTGGGGCACCACGGGGCACCACGGGACACCTCGGGACACCACATCGATCTCACGATCGATTTCACTATCGATCTCACCGAACAGGGCACCACGAGACACCACGGGATACCTGTCTATCTCACTATCGATCCCACTTTTTGGGACACCGCGGGACATTTCGGGGCTCCACATCTATGTCACGATCGATTTCGCGACCGATCTCACCATCGATGTCACTCAACGGGGCACCACGGGACACCACGGGACACCGTGGGACACCGCGAGCCACCGCCAGACGGACGCACGGACGGGCGGTCGGGGGATAACCATTTGTGTTGACTTCGCCCTAGCAGCGGTGGACACCACAGGACACCGCGAGACGCCACGGGACACCGCGAGCCACCGCCAGACGGACGGACGGGCGGTCGGGGGATAGCCATTTGTCTTGCTTTCGCCCTACCAGCGGCGGGTGCATTCCGTTCGCGCGCCCACGCAACTTCGCCTCGCCCGCGCGCGCGAAACGAACGAAACGATTTCCCGGTCGGGGGTCTCCGTTCCACTGCGATCTCATCCCCAACCTCCGATCTTCCCTGCGAAGTCCCTCAGCCCTGCCCCCTCTCCCGCCCTCCTCGCCCTCCGGGCGTTGACGTTGAACGAAAGGTGGCGGCGGGCGGGAGGGAGGGGGCGTTACCAGTCGGGAGTGGAAGGGGGGTGGGCGCGGTCCTATGCTGAAGCGCATCGGGCGGAGATCGACCCTGTGTGATCAGCTCGCCGTGTCAAACGCAAACTCGGCGCGCTGGTGGACGCCCCACTCCCGCGGGCAGCTGATCTCCACAGGGCCCATCATCTCTCACTTCGTCAATTGATCGGGCATCTTCGTTGCATCTCGCTGCAAGGGGGCCGCGTGGTGGAGGGCCGACGGGGCGCTCGCCTTCCATGTCTATCATCGCCGCGCACAACGTCGGGACCTCCTTGCGGCCCATCCCGCGGTTGGAATCGATCGCCGCGATCAGGCGGCTTTGCTTCTGGAGGGCATCATCGCTCTCGCTGCGCTTCAACTGCGCGTGAACGACGATCTCGCCAACTGCGCGCAGTGAAAGCTGCTTCCACGTGAGCAAGGTAGAAGTCCTTCACCCCCTTGCCCCGCTGAGTCTCTTGCAGGGCCAGCCACGTCAATCCGCTGATGAATGCGCGCAGGTGCGGGGGATCTCGACATGTGAAATCAACGGCCTCTCCCTTTTTGCGTTTCTCTGCCAGCTCTTGGGGTATCTCTGGGCGCTGGCGACCTGCGGTCCCCATCGCGTCTGAGAATCCTCCTTCGATGAACTCGAGCGCCAAAGTTGCGCGCGCCGTCGCCGTCAGTTCTGCGGTGCCCCTGCAGTCTGCGAGCACCGGGCGAGCGATGGGCACGACAAGCTTCGCGATGGTCTCGGCCGTCGGACCAGCCTGCCTGGATCTGCGCCCTGACCCCCGCCCCGGCCTGCTTGAAGTCTGGTGGCCCCCCGACAGGTGGGGATGCTCGAAGCCACTCGTGCGCCGCCATGCGCTCGTGCCTTTGCCGCGAGGTCAGCGCGGTCCCCGGGCAGCGGCAGTGCTTCTCGATGGAGATGGCTACGGAGATGGCGACATAGAACGCCCAGGTCGGCCGCTCAATATTCGCAGAGGCGCGCTGCAGAGAAATCCTGGGCTGGACTGGGGGGGGCGCGAGGGCGCCCCTGTTCGGACACTGGCCGCTTAAGGGGGCTCATTGGAGGCGTTTGCAAGCGCCCCCCCAGCGCGCGAACGTCTGGTGGCACGCGACGATCGCATCTGTAGGTGCACGAGAGGAGCAGAAGTTCCGGACCAAGTGGACTCTTCTCATGCGTTTCAGAAGGTCACGTCGGGCGCCGAAGGTAGAACCGCGCATTGTCCCTCCTCCTCGAGCTGCAAGTCGCACTCCTGTTATTTCTGCGCCTACGGAAGTGCAGTATCAGGCGCGGTCCTCGCGCGAGTCGGCGGGGCAGTGCGCGACCGGGCCCGATCTCTGATCGCCGCGCAGCCCGCCTGGAAGCGCACCCCGAAGACATCCCTGTCGACCATGCGTCCAAAGTTCAAACTGACATAGGTGCATGATTCTGGCCCCACGCCCAGGTCCTCGGCTGCCGTCTGGGAGTTCTTCTGGAGTCTGCGGGGCCACGTGGATGCGGCGCTTGATGGGGCGCCCCAAATTCCATGATGCCCTCGGCCTACGGGAACACAGACACGATCCCCCAATATGCTGGAGTCTGCTTTGTCGACGTCGATCGGACCTCGTCTTCGCGATGCGTCGTGGCTCGGCCT